TGACCATCTTAATGAAATTTTGTTAGGAAGGAACAAGTATCATAGTTTCGACACCAGGAAATGCAATTTTAACATAGAAACAGACCGATTAGTGTATTTTAGGTCAAAAATGATGATAACACACAGTAATGTTAATTTATTATAACACAGGCCTCTCTCTCTCTCTCAGGAAGGAGAACGCATCATAGTTTCAAGCCCAGAAAATGCCAGTTAAACATAAAAACACCGATTAGTGATTTTAGGTCAAAAAATGATGATAACACACAGTAATGTTAATTTATTAAAACACAGGCCTGCAGTCCTGGATCTTCGCGGTGGGCCTCGAGGACCACGCCATCACCATCTCCTCGGCGGCAAAGCACGCGATCTACGTCTTCTTCGTAGATCGCGAAATGCGTGGTGTCGCTGGGGACCCGTTGGCGATCTTCCATCAGGCTCTGCAGCGGTGGCAGAGGCGCCATGTACATAGTTGTGTTTTTTAATCATTTTTAAAATCATTTTTTATTATAACCATCATCCTCATTGTAAATTTCTCATTTTCTCATAATTAGTGCGGACTGTGCACTTTACATGTATTGACAAGATGTCAATAAAAATATGTCAATTGTCAATTGTCTCTCAGGAAGGAGAACGCATCATAGTTTCGAGCCCAGAAATTGATATTTAAACATTAAAAAAAAACAGACCGCTTACTATATTTTAGGCCAGAAAATGATGATAGCACGCAGTAATGTTAATTTATGATAACACACGCCTCTCTCTCTCTGCGATGAAAAATTAAAATAGAATTGATAGTTGCACTTTATATATTATATGGTGCTGATTGAAAAAAAAACAATGCATTTTTTTTCTATCACTTCCCGTTTACTTGAAAAATTCAATTTAAATTTGATATTAACGAACATTCACCATAATTTATTCTCCTTTGAATTTCTTCCCTCCTTGCTTTAAAACCTAGTAGGGAGAGAGAGTTTTATTACTAGGGTATTTTATTTCAAATCAATATATCTTACTAGTAAATAAAAATGGATTATAAAAAAAATTATTTTCAAAACACTTAGCTCAAAACATATTTATTTTATTTATAAAATAATTAAATAAATATGTGATATTCATTAATTTTTGCATGTCATTATTTTTTACATATATAATTTGGCATAATTTTACTTCAGATTTAACTGTTGTTTTACCCTATGCGTTTCGTTAAATATGGCTTCGAATCGAGACGTTGTGAAAATTTCCC